GAGGGGCATTTGCACAAATGATGTAACGCGTATGGTAAACGAAACCGTGCCGTCGAAGGCGAAGGAAGACAGCTGTGAATATGTATCGACGAATCGACGACGTGATTGATGAAACCTTGCATTGACTTGTCATCCTGTCCAGAATAGCGTCAGTGCCTCGTCACCTCGCTGTAGCATCCTGTCCAAATCTATCTACAGGGTATTCCTTAACGAGTGGTACGACTGAGATTCGAAAACGTTCCCGTATTATTTGAGAACACTCGAGCGAAAAAAAGTGAACCAGTTATCAATTTTTATTGCAATTGCAGTCCGCGCGTCGACTGGATGGTAAAAACATTTCGCGGTCCGAATTTCCCTTTATACAAAAACGTCAAGCTCGTACTTATAGAGAGACCAATTCGGTGAGATTTATCAGTCAATTGCGCATGTACCCCGCGTGTTGTCAAAATCGATTTCCTCGGAGCGACCACCCGTGCACCAAAACATTATTCTACATTTCGGGTGTATTTTTCCGCTACCCGTTGTAGGACATCCTACGACGTATTTATTCTTTCCCTGGAATAGCTGTGAAAGGGGTGAGACCATTGAACTCGAGGAAAGATCGCGGTTTACGCGCGGAGTAGAGAAAGAGTGACTGAGAGGTATTCAATAAAACATGCGTGTAACAACATTTAATTGTCTGTTATTTCGGAGAGATATGTTTATGTCGACGATTCACTGCGTATCACAATCGCTCGATCGGAGATCGGAGAATGGTAAGGCGAACCGTACGCGCGCGAATTGTGACTCTTCGACGATTTTAAAAGGGGGCTCGTCGCCTTTGAAATTCTCGGGCCTCCGATCGCAAAAGGAAGTCAACGTGTTTCCGACTGCTACGCCAAGTGTAGAAATGTCTAGATCGATTAAGTAAATAAAATTTATTTATTGAATAGTGGCACACCAGTGTTGACGCGACAAGTAGTCATGAACTTTTGAACGCCGTTGACCAGACGCGTACCGATATCGTCGGTATCCGCTTATCTCGAACGCATCCCCCGTCGATTCCCGGCTATGAAAACGGTACCAGTGCCTCCAAGCTCGCAATTCATACGCTCCCGGTAAGATGGGGTACCGATACACGAGAGACATACACGCGGAAAAAATGAATCGCGGCTCGATAACGCAAACCGACGCGTCTCGATGTCCGGACGCGGGGCAGATCGACGATTAATCCGGCCGAATGAAGAATTCATTTGTCACGGCCGGGATTATCGATCACCCGCGTCGGAGCAATTACCCAAGGTATCGATTACCCGGTCAGCTACTCTGTCAAATTTTTCTCGATCCGTTGTTTTTCGGGCAATCGAACAGGCCATTCCCACGCGGAATTTCTCATCGTCGCCGGCCAGCGAAAAATTTAAATATCTCGTTTCGCTTACGGTTCACGGTAAACATCTCGGTAGCCCCGTTTCGTCGGGATTCGCAATCTCATTGCACGCCGGGCATATAGCTCGCACACACCCACACAAACGTTTCACCGACGCGAAACGCGTTTCTCGGTCGCTATCGAACGAGGCGCGGCCGCTGATGGCGGATGAGCGCGTCGAACTTCAAAAGCGTCGTGACTGCTTGTCAGTCCTGACGGCGACACAGATTACTCGTTTTTTCTCTTTTTACCTTTCTTTGGCACGATTCGTTCGTCTCTCTCTCTCTCTCTCTCTCTCGACATGCACGCTCAATCACGCACAGGATCACCCGCATCCTCGCTCTCCTCTCCCAGATTCGTTAATAACGCGTTAATAAATCCGTCGAACGACGCGATCCCTTTAAAAAGGACCACGAGCGTAACGAAATTTGGAGCACAGGCGGCACGGGAATCAGTTCGCACGGTTTTCGAGGATAAATCGATCCTCCCGGGCCACCGGATATCACGCGAAGGAGGATTACAAGAGAAATTCAAAATCAAATTCCTGATCGAAAGGGTGTTGATCTTTTTATATTCTATTTCTACTTTTGAAAATAGGATTTCTTGATATGTGACAATTATTTTTCACTGTGCTCTAACGATACCAATAAAGTTGAATGTTAAATGAAGTTCGTTTGCCCGGACGCGTGGATTTATCCGCGAAAGCTGTGACGAACCTCCATGCTCTGTATCAATTCGTACGTCGAATTGCAACGATACAGCAGCGCCTCTATAACATTCAACACGACCACACCGTACATCAGGTCGTAAAACCTCCCCACACGCACTCTACAATTATTGTCCAAACAATCATAACGACCACAATAGTACACTTAATCGTACGAGAAATCGTTACGCCCGTGGCCCAAAGAACACAGTCGCATCTTTGCGTGTACATGGTATTTATGTATATTATGCATACATGGTCGTTTCGCCGGCTCTTCGAAATTCGTGAAAAACACTCGCTGTACAACGTATCGTTAATATTAATAAACCGTCGATCGTGTCAAAATATGACTGAGTCTCTCGCGCGGCTACGCACTTGTCTATGTGGCATTTATGTGTAAACTAGTTACGCGTACGTCGCTGGATCTCACGGTGAACCGTGTCATGTCACGAGTACACCGATCGTCGAACAGTTCGGTCAATCGCGTGTCTACGATACGGAACGACGCGTTCCTCGGATCCGTCGCGGAACATCCGCTTTCCTCCGATCCGCGCGAGCGTGTATCTCTCGTCAGGTTCGTCTTCTTATCGCGTATAACTTCCGCCTGGCACGTCGAGACGCGACGCAATTTCTTCCGTTCGCGTCTCTTCGTCCGTCGTATAAAACGTCTGAAAAATCGTGGTCCTAGACGGGACCTGTGTCTTCCGCCGCGACAGACAGCGAGAAACGACCCGGAAGCGGAGATCGGGCCGCTAGATCGCGACTGTCGGCCGGTCGTTCTCGAAATTTTGTACTTTGTCCAATGAAAGGTCGAGTCGAACCGCTCGAAGAGGCCCCGGAGGCTGCTGAAGTCTCGATTTCAAACTCGAAAACGGTCGATCTTTCTGCGCCCAGACGCTTCACCTGTTCTCTGTACGTTCAAGATTGCAAATGTCTCTGCCAAAATTGATCTCCCTTCTATTTCTCGATCCGTTTCGTTGTGATTGAGATCCCTTTTCCAGCTGGGGGAAGACAGGACTTTTCGTGATCTTCTAATACTGTTATCCCATTTCAATTTTAATTTACTTTTGTAAGACGATGGAAGGGTGTACTGTAATTCATAGTAACAATAACGCGAAGTCTCACGAAATTAGCTAAATCGAAGTCAAACTGAAATCTAGCATTCTGCAAGGATAAATTAAAATTGAAACAAGTTATTCGCTGGTTCAGAGGCTCCTGCGTGTCTGTTCTGTGGAACGATGTTAATTTCTGGCTCGAGAACATTCGTCGCCATCCCCAAATACCGGAAAGTGATCGATCGCGAGATGTACACGATCATTTTAGGCCGTAAATTCACGCTGAACGTACATTATCCATACCGACACCGTATTAGACCGTTTTACTATGTTAGGCTAGCTCTTGGCAGTGATCACTATGAGTTTGGTCCGATTCTAATCACACGCTTCGCGTCGATCGATCTACATCTCCCTTTCCTTCTAATCTCGTCGACGATCATACGTTTAATTGAACTTTGGCTAATCGTCGCTTAAAGCTGCTCCTTCGGCGTCCATCTCGATCGAAATACAGGGAAACGAGAACATCGGTGTTCGGTTCATGGGGGGGACAATCTTCGTGAATATAGATGGAGTTATTGTCTTCGACGACCGTTTCCCAACAGTCCCCTAACCGTCGAAACCATTTCGATATGTTTAGCCCGTAACCCTCTCGGGCGCGGATTGTCGCGATGGACTGTCGAAACTAGTGATGCATATCAATTCTACGATATACTGAAACTTCAGGGTTCGATCTTGGAAGCTCAGTCATCACAGCTTGCATTTTAATATCGAGATTCAAGCCAGGTGGGAAAGCTTTTTTTGAACCGTAGTTTGATCTCTGAGAATCTGAGGATCGGAAACTGTCTAACAGAATTGGGAACACTTTTATTCGGATAACAAATACTATTTGAAAATATATGAAGAATTCAATACTAAAGAAACGCAAGACTATATGGAAACACAAAATTATATGGAATTGTTGGGCAACGCCCAATTCTGTTATCTGGCGACGTGTAAATCGGGTCTCCGAAACCCCTAGGTTGAATTTTAAGCCCCGAGTCTTGGGTGTAAAGCTTGAGTTTCGATTCCAAAGGGCACTCGTGTTTATGGCTTCCACCGTAGCGCGAGCCCGATAGCCAAAACCCATTTCAAACAACACTAGTCGTGACAATTCAAACGAACGTTCCGCTCGATTTCGCGCGCTTGGAAAGTCCCAGCTTCGGAGAAACGCTGATACGCGATCCCCCGCTGGTCGATCCGTGCCACTTTCGTCGCCTCGCTGACCAGATGAAGCTCTGTCGTTGTCACAGTGATACCATTCGCCGTGCAATCGATCCTATTTCGCCATTCGACGAGCATCCGCGGCAAACGTCGGTTTCCACGAACACCGACGCTCGATCCCAACGTGATCGGCTTTCGTTCGCGAACGAAACGTTTGTCGACTTTCGCGTACAACGTTCTCGTTGCTCGTCTCGCGATTTCCCTGGATGGTCGTTCCCGTTCGATGACGGCTCGGCCCTCTGCTCGATTCCTCGAGCCCAACGGGACCGGTCCTGGCGCGAGGCTCAGCGCGGGGCTAGTCCACAGCTGTCGCCGAATAGATCGCGACTCGATCGATGCTGTCACGTAGACGTTTCGATCGACGATCCGACGTCGCCGACGGCGTCGGTCTGACCGCGTAGCGGTCGACTCGTGCGCCCCGACGACTACATATGCTATAAGCAGGTCTCCTTCTGGTCGACCACGTTCACGACCACGGAGGCTTGGGTGGGCAGCTCCTTCTGGACGGGCACACCTGTCGGCACCTCCTCGAGTATTGGTCAAAGGGTCGTGGTCCTCGATACGGCCGCCGAGGGCGGGGGTGGCGGCGGCGGCGGCGATATCACCACGTCTGGCTCACCCGCCAGGTCGCAGTCGAATCTCCAGAGAATACTCTCAGGGTGGTCACCTCCTGCGCATCAAACGAATTTTCGTTTCGATCAAATAACAATCAAATATACGCAGTCCATTTTTGGTCATCTTCTCAGATATTAACCCCTTGACGTACGATTTAATTCCAAATAATTTTTCAAACGTACGCTATTTAATTTTGTTTAAATTCGTACATGGCCACGAAAAAGAATACCTCGTGAACCTAAAAGTGTGTTGATTTTAATACATAAGACTTGATGAAGAGTAGGTACCCTTCTAATTGTAAAACATGACATCAAGTACTTGTAACGAGTCAGACTCGTCATTGTACGACAAGGGGTTAATAAGATATTCTTCGAGTGGTTAAATAAAAATGATTAATTCGATACAAAAATAAGACCTTTCAACGTGTAAAGGAGAACGCTTGAAATGGAAAGGCGAAGACGTAAAACGTGACTTGCCAAGATATTTGAACTAAAACGAACGATCGAAGAAAAATGAGGGAAGTGTACCTGAACGAATGTTACGAAAGAAGTAACTGAAGTATGAAAAAGTACAATTCCTCTAATAAAAACATATTAATGTATACACAGTCTGTCGAAGAAGAGCTAAGTAGATAATCTATTTTATGGCTTCGAGAAGAAAAGAATTTAATTCCTTCTTTTATTTCTTGATAGTTGAAATTGCGAGAATTTTATTCAAGGGTCGCCTAAACTATTTTCCAGTAGCAGTCATAGATGATATATGTTGGTGATAATGAAAATGTGAAAAGAAGTTGTGATTCACTGACCTTGACCCAAGACGATGCTTGAAGAACCCCGTCTCTGTCTCGGTGGGGGTGGTTGGTGCTTGTGCGTATGACTGTGATTGTGACTGTGTGAATGTGAGTGGCAGTGTGTGTGACGCGTGTGCGTGGGCGTGGCTTTGCACGGTGGCGGTTGCTGTTGTTGCTGTTGCTGCGGCTGCTGAGGATGAAGATGAGGATGAGGCCTGTGCTAGGTGTTCCCGCCACGGGCCGCCGCCACTTGATCGAAGCTCAATGATTTCTTCATCTCCGTCATCGACAACGCACCACCCTCCTGCTGAGAGAAGCGGGCGCAGGTGTTAGCTATATCGGGGTAGTTATCTGTGAACAACCACCGTCGTGCAGCGACGTGGCCGCGGGCGGGAGAGTTATTAAAAGTTCCGCTCGGGATCGTTAAAAGTAGTCGGAACTTTTTAAAACGCTCGTAAAGGAGTTATTGCCGGATCACATGGCTCTGCGAATCGAATCGACTGCTTTACACTCGAATCGCTCGGTCGAAGGAATTTCGAAAAACTGTTCGAATACGTCATCCCCGTGTTTCCTTCCCCGCTACGCGAAGGGTTTTCTCCTGGGATTTGGGAAATCAAGCACGGTAGACTCTCCATTATTCGCACCCAGAGTTCTTATTCCACTTGGACAAACGGGTTTAAATTCTCTCTTGAACATTTAAATTATATGTAATCCCGTTCTTTGCAACAGCGGTTCTTAACCTGTGGTCCGTGGGCCCAGAGAGGTCGTAAAAGCGTTGGCGATGATTTGCGATCTCGCAAAAAGAAAAAGAGAAGCATAATATATAGAGGAATAGAAGAACTGTTCCTCGTATTTCATTCTTGCTAACAAACACCCGTTAAAAAGTTTCCTGTCGTCGGCAGTAAAAACATAAAAAAAAAGACTCGGGGAAACTAAAAGCTCGAATGTTTGGAACTGCTCCTGAACGTTTTAGGAAGTTTCATTAACGCTGTTTCGCACTTATACCATATTCATCGGTTCTCGTTCCGCCTCCGTGCTCGAAACGATTAAACGTGGCAAGTTTCGTTATATTTTTCGTCCACGATGAGAGAGTACAAATATAGAATGGCCACAGCTGCGCCACTTGACGAAAAGAAACTTATTTGCGATGAAAATGTACGTGCACGCGCCGAGGGGAAATTGAATTTCGATAAAATATTGAACGGAATCGAAAGGGGGCTTTCCAGGCGCCGCGAATTCGATGGATCATTTTCCGGGGAAGGGAGGGGAAAAAGAGATACGAAGTTTGGAACGCATCGAGATGACCAGCAACGCGAGAGGTTTGCGGTCGACACCGTTCCGATGGGATTGAGTTCGCTCGATTTTTCCGAACGTTTTCGAAATGCTTCGATTCGTTGGCCACAAAAGGCACCGAACGGAACCAAGCTGCGTGTAAACCCATCGAATTTTTTTACTAAACGGTTTTGGATCTCTCGATGTTATTGGATCTGTACAACGATACGCAACCAATTTGAGATTGTGGTTCGCTGTTGTACGAAAGAAAATCTTATACGATCGAAACTGTTTCCGGCTTTCGACTCGAACGGGAATAAATATCGTTTACACGTACCAGGGAAGCTTGGAATACCACTGTACATATTCCGTGTCCATTGTCCGTCATTGAGAAGCAACGTTTCGAAACACCGATCAAAGCATCGAAAGGGAAACGATTGGAATTCAAGAGGGTTTGCCGTGACTGAGATACTCGTCTCCCGTTTCCACCCCCTTTCTTGTCCACGACGAAGGAGACTGGAAGACCAGGGAATCCGATTCTGGCGTAGTTTTGGAGGGGGCAGAACTTGTAGATGAAATTCGATTGAGTCGCTAATCCAAGCACAGGCCGAACTGCAATTAAACTTTAACCAGCGCGGGGACACGGCTGAAGCGAGTGTCATACGCTTCGTTCCCGAACAAGATGACATGGAGGGACGAGGGGAGAAGGCCGCGATATCCCGTTGGTCCCGCAGGATTTTGTCCAAAGTTGGTTTTTGCCGTATTTTCCGCGCGCCTCCTCTGGCGACGAAATCCACGAGATTCTTGCCTTTATTTCAGCGGAGACGAGAATAAACCGCTGCATACGAAACGTTTTCGAAAAGGAATCTAAACCAACAGCGAAATTTTTAATTAAACCATACGATACTTCTGTTCTTGTAGTTTTGCTAATGGGATTACTCGTACCGCGTATCAAACATATAATTTCACACCCGCCTGGTTGGGTTTCTTGAAAATTATACGTCCACGTATTGAACCAGAGTTTAATTAATTTCTGACTTAATTAAATATCATGGAATTTCTTGTCCGTGAAATGCTTTGAAAATCTTTCGCGGCTTGGTATCATTAGTAATGCCGATGGGATCTACTTAAATATGCCGCGACATTATTACGAGAAAACGAATACCAAAAATTCACGACAAGATTAATTGCTGACTCCGTGAAAAATTATGATGATTTATCGTGGTCGCCGCAAGATTGATGTTTGTTATAACGACTCCGCCATTTCGACGCTCTGTGGTAAATAATGTTGCAACATATAAACGTAAATATTTTCTTACGTTTACTTATTACGGGATATAAAAACTACTACATCAAGAATCTTTTGAAATGTTACAAGTGATAAAAAAATACAATTACAGGCAATTAAATACATGACAAGAAACGAACTAAAGAAGACATTCCCTTAAAGTATTTCTACGTTTGTTTTTTATTCAAATAAATTATCCAAAACTACCTATTAATACGAATAATGGAGATTTTTATTGTATTGTGATCGAATATGAAAATTCCCAAATCGATTCTATCGAAACGTTTCTTTTCACTGTTCTGACCATACTGCCGGGATATTCCGGGATCCGGTGGTCCTGTACATAGTATAACCAGGTCCGAGAATGTGACGCAGCCTGGAAAAATCACTTCCGCCACGATCAGGAGCACCATTCACACGAGTTTCGACGTCGCCGGATCGTTTCGGGTCGACCACGTTCCCTTTTCAATCTTGTTTAACGAACACTCTATTCTCTCGCGATGTAACCGGCGGATCCGATATTTGCCGCGATCTAACGACAAGTAGCCGCCCACGGAACTCGATGGGATCAAATTTTACGAGTTATTCGATGCCAAAAACTATACGGAGGATTTTTATGCAAACGGAATCCGGTCGAAGAACAAAGTCGTTTTCGGTTGGCTGTCGCACGGAAACGGAGTATAGTTTTACCGGTATGGCTCGAAGTTCTGTCGTTAGTAGTTCCGGAAGACCTTTAATAAACGTTGACCTGTCAAACTTAGCGTCTCCGACATACTGTTCGAACGTAGTTAAATAACGTTCACGGAACAGTCGATTCATCCATCAGCAAAATACGATTTTGGTTACGTTGAAATTGAAAATTCTTGGCTACGTTGATATTTGGTTAATTAATAGTTTTTAATCTTACGAGACGATGTCGTAAAATTGTCAATTAGTATAAATTTGCTCTGGAAATAAACTTTTCCTGTCAAACATGTCCAGACCTATGTTTCTCAGGACTTTTTGTTAATTCTCTGCTCTTCAGATTCTTCCTGGACCGATCGATTCGAGCGAGCATTGGGCGCCGCCAGAGGCGTCAGAACGACGAATTTGAAGTGACGTCGTCGTGGAACTTGTATTGCGATCGTCCGACAGCAGTTCGAAGCATGCAATCAAATATATAACGCGCATGTACAACGTGTGTATACTTATACTGAGGTGTGGTGTACTGCGAATGTAAGCGTGTGTAACTGAACTCTGCGCCAATCGTGGTTAAACACACACACACACAGCGGTTGAGTCGACTAGTAGCAATATACTGGACCGTGCCAAAATGCAGAATATATACAGAGTGACACGCTGGAAACAGACCGCGCCGATATCATTGCTAGTTTAATTAATAGAACGAATCACCGTTTACGAAAGTTTCATGGTTTTGTGGGGCATACGAAACGATGTTGACTGTTTCTTCATGGGTGGAAACGCGGAGGTAAACTCGAAAATTAACTTCGAATTTGCGTAAGTTTATAAATTATTGTTCTGATATTATACAGATGGTGCTGATAGGTTTCTCGAAATTATGGCCGGATCCTGCTCAGCGAACGAGAACGATGGCGAATGAATTTATTATCAATATTGAATATATATATAGAGTATATAATTTATTCAATCGTTGAACTAAAATTAGATATTTATGGCACACGCGAGCAGAATTATCTTATCCTGAGATAATTTAATCCGATTCGACCTGTTCCCGAAATGCATTCGAAATATGATAACTTCGTTTAAACCGAACACAGATCAGATTAGAATATCTCCGTTCTGGAAATTCATTATTCCATCAAATTTTCCCACAGTAAATTAAATTATCCCTAAATTGTCACCCACGATGAAACTGAGTCACGAAACTTCCGCGGGCAACGTTCTCCGTTATTCGAAATAGCAAAGAAAACGGAGGTAACCCGTTTCCGGGATATCGCTCTGTATATTCGTTACTTTGTACAGACGAACAAAAAGTTTGATCAACTTAACGCAGAACAGCGTCCAATCTAGTTAAGACATATCAGAGAGACGTATGAACTGAGACACAAATTACGAAGGAAAGACAATAAAGTGACAATTTTCACGCAGGCACTTCCCATTTGCAATACTCCCTTTCTCGTTACTCGGCCGTGGCTCGTATTTTCTCCCCCTCGGTTCCCGCGCATCGAAGCTGATGAAGAAATTGCGTACATTGTCGTTGGGCTTCGTGGAGGCTGTGCCTGGGTCACGGTAATCGGATATCGCCCGTCTCGCTAGGCCAAAAATTATTCTCGGCGATTGTGTATCAATTTCGGAGCAGATCGTTCGAACGCACGCGTCTGGGATACCCTTCGCGAATTGGTTGGAATATCACCCCGGGAATTCAATTACCGTGAAATCGGCACAACTCCGCGACCAACGATGGCTTCTCATACGAGGATCTTCTCAACGCGTTCTACATTTTCCGTTTCGATTATTCGTATTCTCGAATCTCAGTCATTCGAATAATTAATCCGTGAAACAAAATCAGAGCTCTAACGGAGCAACATTGGCGATTCGGTAGACACGTAATTTTTATTTATATGTTTCTGAAGAGGATTTGAAAATAGGGGGTTGGAGAACAGTTTAACCCTTTCCACGTCACAAGTTCTTGCTGTCAAGTTTCACTATTATAACTCACTCGTCATCAATTCTTATGTATTAAAGTCAACACATTTTTAGGTTCACGAGGTATTCGTAAAACAAATCTATTCTTTTTCGTGGCTATTCCTTATACGAATGTACGAAAGGGGTTAAATCGGTTTTTGTGTTTGAAAGCCCTCATATCAGAGTTTGACTTTATTTCGTGAGAGTAATTAACGCGTCGAGCACACACATCGCGCAGTCAATGGATCGACTAATAACGGACTACAGTCGCCGATTGTAACCCAAGGGTTAAGTATAATAATGAACTGTACATGAAGTGTTTGCTCGTATAATACGTAGCGCTCGACTCCGCTGTTTGACTGTTTGTTTCTCACTGTTTGCTTTACTCTTACCGCGAATCTCCGGTGTCATCCTGACGTTTACGTTTCCCGATTGCACATGTTCTCATATACGAGTGTTAACCGTGCTTCTATCATTGCTCCCGCAACAGTGTATCTCCCTTTCACGATTATTACTAGCTCTTTCTGGATAAAATCCATAGCTAAATTATGCGTCTATCAAAAGTGGGTCCGCCCTGCAGGTAATATCGATAGTCCAAAAGGGTTACAAGTTTCAGTTTCCCAACAGAATTCCCAAGGGCTACCCGGAGTCGAATATCAAAGTACATAGTACGCGTTCCAGGAAAGATGACGTTCACCCTTGCTTTTGACACCCTCATAGTCTTCCAAACTATGACGACAATGTATGTTACCGGAATTGTTAGATCGTAAACTGTAGCAGGGACTTGAATGTTTATTGGACCTAGAAAATTTCTGTTTTTAATGTTTCGTTCATTTGGATCCTGAAAGAAGCCATCGAAGGTGGTCGCGAGCCCATCGTGAGGGACAGGACTTACACCATTTAACCGCGGTATCTCGATGCTCGGTATGTAGGTGGTCTCCTCGTGGCCCGTCGAGCAATATCGCGTTCTCCTCCTGCTGGCTCGCGGACTGCAACGGCCGCACGGCACCGCGGCGTCGGAATTGCGCGCCTTCGCGGCTGGCCTCTGCCGCGAGCCGCACCGCACGGCGAACCGCAATTCCGAGGCCATCTCGGCGCACAGGGACTGCCGGACCGCGAAGTCGATCGAAGGTTTCCACGTGCGTCGTTTATATTTTCGGTTTGTCCCGTCGATGCACAGGCAGGCACAACAATACCAACAAATGATACACAAAACGATCGCACCACGAGCTGATTACCATGCGGTTACTCTCGCGCGCAAGGCCATTTCTTTTCGCGACGTTTCTCTACGATGGACGTGGTTCTCGCGATATTAGGGCGGTCTACGTACACGAAAGACCCACGAAAGTATTCGAACAAGGACATATTATTAATTAAATTAACACAAACCGTACAGTATTGAAAATATTTTGAAATTGTTGTATATGCAAAGTGTTCTAGATGGTTCTCAGAGTGATTCTAGAGGCCAAAATAAGACGAAAATCAAGAATATCAATTTCTTGATTGAAGCTTCGTTAAAAAGTTATTAAAACATTAAATTAAAAAATTTCTAACCGTTCTAAAAAAATTATTTTTAGTTGCAGGGGTGAATTGCAATCATTTTTTATGAACAGACATACCCCCGAAATCCTACGCATTTTCGAGAAAAAAATTCATTGCTGAAAATGTAATGTCTGACCATATCTGTCTGTTTCCCTGAAAATTGAAAAGTTCCAAATCATTCTGAAAAAATTATTTTCGATTGCGGGGGTTAATTGTAATCATTTTTTATGAATCGACATACCCCCAAAATCCTATGTATTTTCGAGAAAAAAATTCATTACTGAAAATGTAATGTCTGACCATATCTATCTGTTTCCCTGAAAATTGAAAAGTTCCAAATCATTCTGACAAAATTGTTTTCGATTGCGGGGGTTAATTGTAATCATTTTTGATGAATAGACATACCCCCGAAATCCTATGCATTTTCGAGAAAAAAATTCATTACTGAAAATGTAATGTCTGACCATATCTATCTGTTTCCCTGAAAATTGACAAGTTCCGAATCATTCTGAAAAAATTATTTTCGGTTGTGGGGGTCAATTACAATCATTTTTAGTGAATAGACACACCCCCGAAATTCTACGCACTTTCGAGGAAAAAATTTTTTAAAAAAAGACTTTAAACGTTAATAACTTTTTAACGATGAGGTGGAAAAAAATTAAGAAACATGATGATTATATCGAAAGGATTGAAACACGAGATTGTTGGAATATGGCAGTCTATAGACGAAAGTATTACGTCAAAGTTAGCATGTTGCTATTAACCAATATTAAGTGTACATTTCGAATACTTTCGCGAGCGTGTGTGCACAGGATAGGGGGATTCGAACGCCTAAATATTTCTGTTATTTACGGTCGAAATGAGGAAACTCCTCGGAAAATGATTACAGAGCACCTTTGACGATATTAACAGTTTTGGTGAGTTTGGGATTTGAGGTTCCCGCGACCGGGATTGAAGTTAATATTTCTCGTACATAAAATACGAGTTTGCTAAAAGATATAATTTCGGAAAGCTGCACGAAACGGACATAAATTTTACATAAGTGAAAGAGGACAGAAAGAATTAAACGTACATATTAAGTTAATGTAACGAGATTTATTGCTACCGTTTGAGGATTCCGGGAATAAGCCACAACTGTTTGTAAACTCTTTCAAAGCATGTTCAAAATTACACGGCTTATATGCCGGAAGTTTCAAACGGCATCGACTGTGAACGAACCGCGAAAGCCTCAAACATCTCATTTCAAATGAAATCCGGATAGACGAGTAGGTGCATAACCATACCAGGGAAATAGGATAGCAGAAACCGAAACGTTTATTCTGCGTTTTCTCTTCGTTTGCGAATGAAGGGGAATCCATAATACACTGACTCTCCAAAAACATTAATTACTTATAAATATTTTATAAGATAACAGTATAACAAGTCTACCTTGGTTTGCATTTTCCAAGCAAGTTCTCAAGTATATCTCTTCGCGAGAGTCGTCGTGTCGCGAACCATTAAAACAAATCAAACGCGTTCGGTATCGATCAACTTCACCGGCAACGGTTCAGCCACGATAAACGAAACGTAAATTACTGTAAAAAATTTGGCGATCTAACTACAAGAAACGAGATTCGAGGGTGTCCGGGCACGGCATGCAACTGACACCTCGAGCGCAGACCGTTCCAGCTAGGTACGAAGGAGCAGAAGAAACGGAAACACAGTGCTCGCAGAGAAACGGCCTTGCACGCTACGGAGAGAAGGTACACTCATGCAGCACGTACACGCGAAGCACGAAATTGTACGGAATAATCTCGGTGCCTCGCACGCTTACCCTGTCCGACTGGACGTTCTTCTTGGAGTTCCAGCAGAACTCGAGGATCGCGACGAGGATCGCTAACGCCAGGCCGCAGAGCAGCACGACAAAGACACCACCTGGAACGAGAAAACCGGAAGCTCATTATTTTATCGCCGACGGGTATCTCCGTTTCTTTTCTGATGTCGGGCCTAGCGCGACGGAGTTAATGTAACTGCCACCAAGGACCGTTCCCTTCTATCCTTCCACCTATACATCACCGTCCAACCCCTTTTCCCGCCTCCTCCATTCACCCAGGTCCGTCTATTTGTCCATTTATCTAGCCATCTGTCTAGCTTCGACCGTCCATACGCCTCTGTCGTCTATTTACCCCCACGCCGAGCCGGGTCATTGTTAACCCCGTCTCCATCTTTTCGTATTTCCCTCTATCCGTCTTCGTCCTCGCGTTGAAAGAGATTGACGGACGTCGAGGCGAGAAACTTCTATATCGCGGGTCAGGAGGACGCGTTGGAGCTCGAGACGCTGGAAGTTGCTCTCGATGAAAGGTTCCCGCCACTATGACCGCACAATTAAACGAAGGGAGGCTGCGGCGGCGAAGTTTTTCGATTATTTATCGAGGACTGGCGACGCTGGGAATTTTGAGTTTGGCTCGAACGGGCTCTGGTGAAAATAATTGGGCGCCCAGACGCGAACGGATGGAGACACGCTCTAGCAAATAATTATTATTTTGAACGTGTGCGTTAGTTTTTGGAAAAAATAGTTTGCATTTATACGGGTCACCCTGAATATCGTCCACCCCTGCTTTCGGTATTGAAAGACTCGCATCAGCGAATGTTCAATACATCCCACTGGGCTTGAATGAGTTCGCCAGCGCTTCATTAAATCGTCAGGTACACTTGCTCCCGTATTTATGTTGATGCTATCGAACGTTAAGAATACATGTAGCTCGTTCACGCTTTTCACCCTTGCATCTGTCTTTTAGAATCGATTCAATAGCGGTTGCTTTGTTCGCTGCGAACAAACGCCATTGAAAGTATCGAGGAATTTTGGAAACTAAGTTGCTGATGCCTTCGAATCACTGGTTATTTCAACTTGATGGAACTGTTTCAACGATGGTGGAATAAGGGATGCAAATACGTCTATGTTTCGCAAGAGTATCTGGTTCCACACAAACATTTGAGGAGAATTTGCCTCTCAACCGAATAATGACTTCAAACATATATACACACGAATAAACATACTCGAAAATTGAAGCAAACATTATAAAATAGCTTCGTAGACTATTTCAAAATACTTGGACCGTCGAACATTCCTATCTCCCATGTCAAGTTATTATTTTTATTTTACGTACAGTTATTTTTATTCTTGTATCTTGTCAGAATAAATATCGACGCGCGTGTCTCGCGAGCCATCCTCGCTGAAATTTCGCGATACTCGCATGGCAACGGCAGATTCCTCTCCCGAGTTGAAACCGAGTTCTCATTCCGGTGCTCGCGAAACGAGATCCGCGAAGTTCGGCTTCGTATGTGGCCACGAGGTTCCGCGTGCCTTCGTAAACTTTTTCGAATTGCTGCATATGCCGCTTTCCGCCGCGTCTGCATACTCTTGAATCGAGCCAGCCCCGTGTTTACCCCCGACTCGAATCTCTGATTTTTTCGTTTCGTTCCGCGGAAGCCCTGCTCGACTCGTATCGCCCCTCAGAAAGAAGCCCAGCGCGAATAAATGTTTCCAACAATTTCAGCTGGACTTCGCGCGGAAGTTGATACCGATCGATGAATTCCTTTCGTACGAAATTGATATTGTTACGAAATAACAGAGCCCTCAAAACGAGAATTCATATTTTAGTTTGTTAATTACATTGTTATCTGTTTCGAATTAAATTTACGAAACCTTTTTTTGTTTATTCCGCGAATTTGTTATCTCCCCTCGTAGCTCTGGTTTGTTCGGAAGCACGTATGGAATCGTAAGTTATTGCCATGGGAAATAACTCATCCAAACACGAGCGATACCCGTTGCTTTTAATTTATCCAATTCTGGAATTCGGATGATTTTCTCCTCGCCTTAATTTTCCAAGTTATTAAACAAACCAGTGTGTTTGCATTAGTTTTGTTTGCCAGTGTCATTATTATGCGTTTTGGCCGCGTCTCGAGGATCTGGTCCCACAGTCTGTCGTGATTTAAGCAACGTCCAAGACAGCACGCTGGAAAGAGCAAAGTTTCTCGCACGGGCTCCGGCCTATTTCCTCGCGCTAGTAGCTAAGCTAATTCCGCGACAGGACGAGAAAGCACGTCGTCGTTGCAAGCGTGGAATCGTGGCGTGCCTATGAGACGATTCGTGTTTCACAGCGATAAGTTTAGAGTTCGCTCACCGTGCTAGGATATCCCCGAGTTTCGGCCTGAAGGACAACTTCCGCGGGAGTCTCTGAAGGGGACTAGCGTTCTCGTTGTATAACGGAAGAGCCCAAGTGATACGACGCCCCGATTAATTCGACACCGTGTCATTCACCTGACGAACTCCGCGCAAAGTCTCACCTGTCGTCGAGTCTATCCGAAATTGGATTTTCGTGAAAGCAACAATAATCGTCGACGTTATGTTATCGTTATCGCCTTGGGGTGTGAAAATGGTTTGAGAAATTTATTTGATATTATAAATATTTTAATATTACAGTCCTTGAAGAATTTTCCGTTCCATAAAGGGGAGTAAATATTTCTTCAAGAAACGTTGCAGGCAATCTAGCGATAAATCTAGCCAGTCTCGACTCGCTTTGATGTTAGGACAGCGCGTTCGAGAAAGGTTCCGGTTTCACAACGGGGCAAAATTCTTTGATCGATTGGTCGTTTCGAAGATTTCAATATTGAAAATTGTTCAATATTTCGAACACTTATGAACGCCTTGCAGCTTGCGTTCCTACCATTTTTGCATTATATGTATAGAAAATTGGGTTTTGAAGTTTATTATAAGTGCTGAAATTTCTTAGGTATATAACGTAAAAGTAAATCTCAAAATAAACATAGAATACAAAATAAATTATAAAAGCAATTACGTTCGTTGGATAGAGGATAAAATGCCCTTTAAAATGAGCGTTTGTACGAGTCGATAGCGTAATTAGTTCCGGAGATATAGCGATTTTAGTTTCGAGTCGATGCGGTGGCTAGTTCCGGAGATATAAGGGTCCGAATCGTTTGTTTACGTTTGTTGCGCTCGCGCGAGTTCATTGATCTCGCGCGTAGTAAATTCTTGGAAATACTACGCCCGAAACTAGGTCACGACAGTCACGTTCGTAGGGTAGGTCAGCACGACGCACGTGCGACAAGGAGGCCCGACTCCGCTAGACGAAGACAGAGATAGTCGAATTGAAAAAATTACCTTTTACATAACTTACGATATCTCGAAAACGGAAAGTCGGATCGACAAAAACCAAATGCCATTTTAAAGAGGAAGCTTTGCCGCCGCCAACAATGGTTCAATAATGGCAAAAACACTAGTAGTTTCGGAACTGCAAGCAATTAAAGTTTTAGTAATTTCAATACGCGTTGATAGTCTACGTTAACACGGGAAGTCCCATAAGAGAATTCTTTTAAAATTACCTATTTACATAAATTACGATATCTCGAGAACGGAAAGTCGGATCGACAAAAACCAAAAGCTATTTCAAAGGAGAGGCCTTGCCGCTTCTAATAGTGGTTCAATTATTAATAAAACAATAGTAGTTTCGGAACTGCACGCATTTAAAGTTTATGTATTTTTAATACGCGTTAATAGTCTTGTGTTAAAGCGGACAGCGAGACATAGTGGAATTATAAAAATTACGCTTCTCTTTACACGATGATATCTCCAAAACGGAAAGTCGGATCGCCAAAAACCAAAAGCCATTTCAAAGGGGAGGCTTTGCTGCTTCTAACGATGCCTCAATAATTAATAAAACAGTAATAGTTTCGGAACTGCACGCGTCTAAAGTTTAACTATTTTTGATACGTGTTGTTAGACTATTTCAAAACAGAAATTTCAAATTTTTGCCCGGATTTTTACAAAAAAATATAAATCAAACTGGACAGACTACATATTTTTCTCAGAAGACAAACAATAAGAATAGAAGTGAATATTGAAAAATTATGTTATGATACGCTGCACTTTGTAATTTTGTAATATTAAACACGACTTGGAAAGAATCGATACCAAAATATTTTTTCTAGATAGATTACGACGCTGTGGGCGAGAACGGCCGACAAATTTGGTTTCAGCGTTTAAAAAAAGCGCGCAGAAAGAGCTCTATTACTTCTGTTTCAGTTTCTTTTGGAAGCATTTTTTTTTTTGTCCGAGTCCTGTGTAATCTTCGCGTCCCGTGGAAAGGCGATTAGCCAGCTCGTACCGAAATCTCACAAGACATCCGAGGGCCGTCCGTCCTTCTTCCTGTCTCGCCGAGTACGTTCGCGCTACCGGCAAAGTGGGCACTTACCTAAGTTACAGGCCAGCCTTCGAGAAGGGGCGAGAGAAAAAGGGAGAAAGAATTGCGGGGATTCTCGCCCCGGAAAAAAGAAAGTGGAAGATTCACCGTGGTACGGGAGGGGAAAGACAGAAACGAAGAACTTGTGACTTCCATAAAATCCGGAAGGGGTTCCAGTAGACTCCCAAGAAAAATTCCCGGGCGAACTTTCCGCGAGATTTCTACTGTGCTTGAAAGCTCTGCTCGTTTCTCTTTCACTATGCCCCTCCCAGTCTCTCATCGACAACACTTATTGCGCGAAGCGTCGCTGTAACGAGCTGAATTTTCAGGCCCTCCATTGCCACGTTTACAGAAACTCGATACAAAAAGCACACTGGGATCCCGTCGAAAATAATTAAATAAATCATGACAGTCTAGTCGCCGTCTGGTCTGAGAGTGTTGAAGGAATCCACTTTCGAAGTTATCACGTGATTCTACCGACTACTGAAATCCATTCATGGTTCATCGCATAACCTAACGCGATTGTCGAACGATCGTAAATTAAATTAGCCACTACTTGGTGTATAGGAATATTCGACAATCCCAGTAATTTCAGTAGTTTCATATGCGATACACGTTAGCCGCGCGCATTTCACTGCATGCGTCAATAACATGGTTCTGGATTATCGTTCCATAATCCAGTCGATAAATATTCAATAGAATTCAAACATCACACTTTCCTGATGCATGCCTGGTCAATTTACTGCATCGTTGCTACTTCCCAATTATGTTTCTCGTTTAATACAAGGTAACCGACGATCTATCAATGTTATTCAACCGGCCGCAAAATTCATCGAAACAAAATCATTTTAAATTAGGTTTAAATGCAGCTCCCGTGTTTTACATTATCCATGTTGTTGTTTGTACGAGAAACTGATATCGATAATTTAAAGGAAAATTGCAATCAAATTTCACGTTGCATAAAATGATCTTCGTATCATGTATTTGATCAACGTCGCTCACTGACACGTCAGAGACCGTTCCGCGTAATTATTCACCGATTAATTAACGTTAGTACTCGGGAAGAAATTGCGAAACATTTCGTGTTGCATCGTTTACTTAATTAATTGCTTCTCGCCGCGCGTCACGAGGTATCGTTAAAAATATTTTCACAGCAAAATAGAATAAAATCGTGGCGGTCGACCTCTACTTCCTGCCGAGCAAAACCGCTGATAACTTCGAATAAAAAATTCAACTCTACGAGCGCCGGTTCTGAGCGACGTCAGATAATGTTCCCGCTGCCCCCTTTTCCCTGGCAGTAAATTTCCACGGCGTTTTCCTCCTTCCCCCCCACCATCTTTCGTCGCGTGAAAAAATTTAATTTCGCAAGCTCACCGATATTTTCGACTCCGAGGGCGTTCGCTTTGCTTTCCTTGCTCTTCTCGTCCCTGTTGCACACGTCGCCCGTGTTCTTCCACCACTTATCGTACAGAATCTGTATCACGCCCTTCTCCTGCAGCTCCAGAATCGCCAGGGATATTTTATCCCTCCACGGTGAACCTGCGTATGAAACGACTCGGTTAAGTTTCAAGTGTCTTCGAAAAATAATATTTTTCAGTTTGAAACGCGAGAAGGAACCGCAACGAGCTAGATATCAAAGGAATTAGGGGCAGAGTCGACGGTCTCAAAGATCAGGCTCGTTTCTTCGGGCAACTCGCTCAGGATATCTTTTGGGAGCCTTCGAACCGCGCCCAAAACGTAATTGCGCCACTTCTCCTGCGATTCGTTATTAAGTGCTGGTACGGGCGGCGGGAAAGGCGAATTAAAACGCGAATACGCTGATCCAATTAAGAAAAATTGTTGGGCTCCAGCTACCGTTGACTTTGCGCGTAACGTTTCAGCGTTTCACCGGCGAAAAACCGAGTCGCGCGGATTCAAAACACCGAGCCAGGTTCGGTTCGTCCGTGCTTTTCAAGCAGTTAATTAAGGCGTAACCTCGTCCTCCGGCGCGGAGTCGAGGTTCCCCGAATTTCTGTTGAAAAACATCGCGGCTATTTACATTTCTTTTCGTCCTCGAGGCGAGCGAGTCGCGCGACACCGACGCGCCGGCTGCGAATCCCGCGACTTTACGATGTTTTCTACAAACTGCGTTCAACGCAGCGATATTGTAGCTGCAAACAACACTCGAGGAAAATTCACCACGATCGATGTTTGAACGTTGGTTTTTGCAGTCGTCCGCGTTGATAACGTTCTACGACGAGAACGGGAGCTTTTATCGCGGCCTTGCAACATGCAACAATGTTCAACGCTCGCGTTGTCGAATTTACTTTACGCCCATCGCGGGTTAATCACGTTTGCGGAATGCCCGGAAAATGGAAAGCGAATGGTGTTTACCGTTCTACGTTTCGCTTTACGATTGTAGCTTTTTGCAGAGGGGGAAAGAAGCGACGACCATAGAGATTTTTATGGCGAGCAATTTCTCGCTCCGTTAAAGAATCCTGGTATAAGCGATCGCGTTTCGGGAGAATTGAAAACGAACAAGCTCAGTGTTTGATTATGCGAACTTTGGGAAAATTCTGAGACGATAAAAGAAGAATTGAAACTACCTTCTCCTCGCGATATTGGTTAAAATGAATTAATAAGCAGTAAACAAGTTATTTGTTCTGCTATTAGGACCTTGAATAAGTTCTCGCTGTTTCTTCAAAGATGGCAGTAGCAGTACCCCGTTCGTGGAATTTCGAATGGTAACACACATGCAAGGCAGTAGTGTATCTAACATTAAATTTCAGTGTATGGTAGTTCACTTTAGTGTAAACAAAGTAATTTTTTTTAGTTCTGAAAATGTCTACTTTTGTGCCAAATAAAGTGTATTTGCGGGGAATTTTATTGCACTATTTTATTCAAAAGAAATCTGCAGCTGAAGCACATAGAATTCTTGTTGAGACTTATGGTGACAATGCTTTGTCGGATACGACATGCAGAGACTGGTTTCGACGCTTCAAAAATAATGATTTTGAACTTGAGGATAAAGAACGTTCCGGCGCACCGAAATAATTTGAAGACGAAAAGTTGGAGGAATTACTCGATCAAGACCGATGTCAGACGCTAGCAGCACTTGGAAAAACATTACAAGTAGATGAGTCAACTGTTTCAAAACGTTTAAAAGTTTTAGGAATGATCCAGAAGCAAGGACATTGGGTACCGTATGAATTGAAGCCGAGAGATGTCGAACGGCTTTTTCTCACGTGTGAATTACTGCTTCAACGTCAGAAAAGAAAAGGTTTTTTGCACCGCATCGTGACTGGCGATGAAAAGTGGATACACTACGATAATCCAAAGCGTAGAAAATCGTGGGGTAATCCCGGCCATGCATCAACATCGTCTGCAAAACCAAATATCCATGGTTCGAAGCTTCTTCTCTGTATTTGGTGGGATCAGCAGGGTGTAATTTATTATGAGCTGCTCAAACCGAATGAGACTATCACGGGGGATCGCTATCGACTTCAATTGATGCGTTTAAGTCGAGCCTTAAAAGAAAAACGGCCGCTATACGAGCAGATACACGACAAAGTGATTTTGCTACATGACAACGCTCGGCCTCATGTTGCAAAACCAGTGAAAACCTACCTGGAAACGCTTCAATGGGAAGTTCTACCCCACCCGCCGTATTCACCTGACCTAGCCCCTTCTGATTTTCACCTATTCCGTTCGATGGCACATGGCCTAGCTGACCAGAGCTTTCATTCTTATGAAGAAGCTAAAAAATGGATCGATTCTTGGATAGCCTCAAAAGACATGTCGTTTTTCCGACGCGGAATTCATATACTGCCAGAAAGATGGGAGAAAGTGGTCGCTAGTGATGGGCAATACTTTCAATGAAATGTTTTTGTTCCTTATAATTTAAATAAAGCTTTTATTTTTTAAAAGAAACAGCGAGAACTTATTCAAGGTCCTAATAAAAAAAAACCAATCCTGACCAATCACATTTGTTTGCTACATACTTTCCTAGACGGGGACGATCATTCTCAGGGACATTGAACAGCTTTAACCGCGAAGGCGAAACGCTCGAACGGAATTCGATTGTTTTCCGATATTACCTTTGGGGGTGGCAATCCCGTAGCCCTTGCTGTCCAACAGGCCACCGATTTGCGTAAGATTGCAATCTCGTTGTACCGCATAATCGAGCATAGTGGATTCCATCAAGAAAGCGTAGTTGCTCTCCAACACCTTCTTCACACCCTCCTCGTAGCTCTGCACGAACACAGTCTTGGACTTCGATTCCATGAACCTCCACATCTTCTGATATATCCCGATCTTCGAATCCTGTTGTTTCGACAAAGAACACACAGCGAAATTATCGACGTTCCATAGAAACCGCGGCGTGAAAGTATTCTTGAGAAACAAGAAGTCGAGAGCGGAGAGCTTTCGAAAATAACGACGAGTCCGGTTTGATGTTCGTACGACAGTTTCGCGCGCTGACCTAAAAACGGGATACACGAGAGAAACGGTCGGCTTCAATAACGCGATATTAACGTAATGCAATAGCAACACACGTCGAAACGGCGTTTCGAATTTAATAACGTTAAGTGCGGGTGTTTAAGGGCTCTCGGAAATTTAACAGCGCTCAGTGTACGCGGATTTTATAACGGCGGCGCGAAAATTGCCGCGCACGTTTCGCGGAATAATCAGTCGAATAAGTTACGCGAGCGATTAAAACCGGCGAGTTTATGGTTTTAATATCACGGTATGAGTTACGGGCACGTTAGAGTCCCCTTCGCTCGAACGTTGGCAAGACACGCGCGAAATATTCATGGAAATCGCGAGTACTCGGTATGCAAACGACAAGTGTACCTAATTTGAAACAGAGTATATTTTTAATTTACAGTTACCATCTCCCAACAACAACATTTTATACAGAATTGCATAGAAAGTTTGCTGAAAAGAACTGGCTGATGAGTTTCAGGAATAATTTGATCAGCTTTTACGGCGTTTAAATATTAAAGTTTAGTTATGCACGACCCCACTTTGCACCTCGATGTGCATATTTGATCACACGACCAATAATTGCTAACAAATCCGGTTATGGTACTATGGCGCGAAAATTCCACCAATTACGAAGCGATTTCTGTTCCGTTCGGAGTTATCAAAGTTACTGGAAATGAAGTACGCAGAGTTGAAATTGATTCAAAGGAAACGCGTTAACCTGAATTGCACAATTTCGATCGAGTGGCGACAAAGGCTGGAACACAATGGAATAAAAAATGTTAATTTTTGATACTCGAATTGGAATGGTTGACTAGAAACAGAGTAATTGTATAAATATCAAATTCGAATAATATATTTTAGTTACAATATTGTATTTGTCTCTGTTTTCACGTGTCTTTCATATTAGCATACGTGGATAAACGTACTTTACAAAGTATCAAGCTATTTCTAAACTATCCCATCGATCCGTTAGTGTCAATTTCTTATCGCTCTTCCCGCTATTAGGGTTTCCCATTCGGGGGTAGTAGTTCACCATCAATCTTCCAATACTTACTCTGAAAAATGTCATCGTGCTCCCGCCGTCTAAAGTGCCGTACGAGATTTCGGTTTGCTCCGCGAGGTCGGCTGCGTTCTCGATCGGCGTTATCATTCTCTCCACTGTTAAGAACGCGGCCAGGTTCGCCGTGTAAGAAGAGATGATGATTAGCGTGAAGAACCACCAGATCCCGCCCACTATTCTCGTGCTAGTTGCCTGATAACGACGATCGATACTTTTCTTAGTTACGAGAAAGCTGCTGCGTACGCGGGCAATTCCTTTCTGTCGATTCTACGAGCTCCCTTTGAGTCTTTGAAAATTGCAACCCTTCGACATCATCGTTACGTTCCACTTTGAAACGACAAAGAATCGAAATAACTGAGGAAGAATGAATCGAAGTCCCCGAAGGCGAAAGCAAAATTGAATATGATTTATGAGCAGACTCTTAAAATTCCAGAAAATAAGATACAACATCAAGTTTCATTATTTGAGTACGCAACAATTAGTAAATTATTATCACAGTCAGTGAATATAATAACAAATTTTCATTAGATTCGATATGTAAATTGCACGTAAATGAACGTAATTTACTAATTGTCATCAGCGACGATGCCTTTGTACCGCAATACGGGGGTAATTTATAGAAGTGATTAATATTTCTGTGTTTTCGTTTCCTTTTTCAAAAATGAATTTTGATACAGATTATAAATTTTTCTATCCAGGTATTTCCTTGTACATTAAACTTTCGAGATAACAACGGAGCGAGGAATTAAAAGAGAGTACGTAAATTCCTAAATGATTATTGGAAGATGACGCGATGGAAAGTATGCAGTCCCATCGACGCTCGCGAGTCGTTCGTAAGACAATCGCTTTTCTCTTAAACGTCGTTTCAATTTCGCGTCTACGAGCCGGAAACCCATAAAGAGCATCGGCGATCAATCGAAACCGCGTCTCTGGGGCATCGAAGCAAAGACGATTTAAGACCCCCGACGGAGGGGGGCTCCCCTCGAAGCTACATTCCGTGCTGCGACCGAAGAATGCAATATGCGGTCTCATTTATGCACCGCGAGATCGCTAATGGCATATTTCGAGCCATTAGCGGCACCGAGTCGATCGAGGAAACGACTTAGCGAGACATTTCTGAGATATTCCTTCGCGTCTGCTCTCCGTCAAGTTCCTGGCGCAAAGACGATGCTCCAAGTTGGGTTGCAATTATCACGGACTCTGGCGAGAGATCTAGAATTACACTCCACTGTCTTCTAAGACCCAAAGTGTCAAACGTAAAAACATTAATTATTTGGAATTAATGACACGCTGCGAATGGAACGCGTGGGCGATTCGAACCATTAATCTTGCTAACTGCTTTGCATGACAATATGTTCGAACCACCCTTGTAAAAGACGAGGTACAAATAATAATTTGTGGAACTTTAGAATTTCGTTACCATTTTCAAGATTTAGGATTCTGTGTATCCGACCAATCTCAGAAAGTATTCTGACAATTTTATGACAGGTATATCTATTCTCGTGAATCTTTGTTAAAGCAGACAGGACTGAGACGCTAAAAAACGCGGGTCTGTGAATATACACGGCGATACTGGTATTATAGTCCCCTTCTAAGCGAAGATATGTGAACGTCGTGGAGGAAAATCTTGTACGGTCTAATGACCTCTATTATCGCGAGATACGGCTATTTCCCAAGAGCACCGGTGCACTCGCAAAGTGCAATTGCACTTTCCTTTTAAGTGTACTGATTTTCTGATTGCCTTTAAATCTCCGTCAAACATTCTTAAAATCATAACGATACTCTTCGCCGAATTATTCCAATTCCCACGTGTCCTCCTGTCTCTGGAACGTTACAGGTCCCATCTATTTTAACATAAAGCCACGAGAATGGATGTGGAACGTATTGTCGGAGTACCTTTCTCAGCGACTGGTGGGATCACTGTGTCTCGTAATTTCAGCGGTTGTTTCGAGGAGAAAAAAATCTATTGCTTGTCCTATCGATCCTCCTCGTCGATTGCGTTACGGTGTCATCTCGTCGGGGAAAGGAATTGCCCGCCTCCTAGCGGCTGATATTTATTCATGTCGCCAGCGGTGTCGCCGCGAATATCCTTCGAACGCGAGGCACTTCGTTAGCTCGTCGTCTCTTTCCCGACGGAACTTCGTTTCGCGCGAAATTGACGAAGCTGCGAAGTCCCGGGCCAGAGTATTCGCGTATTATCTCGCGCTGGAAGGATCCTAATGGCACGCGTATCCGTTCGTCCGAGCTTTTAATGCGAATTTCTGGGATTCCCGCGAGCACTTTGCTCTCCGGGATCCGCACAGTCTCTGCTACGAGACCGGATTACTCGCGGCTGTTCGCAGAGTCGCAACGACAACCCCGCATGTACATACATGCCACCAGAGCCGGCTAGCACCATATGTCGTACAGGCGTTACCATGTCTCTCTGCTAACTCTTTTCTTTGATTTTAATCGACAATAATCGTTAAACTATTCGTAGCTCGTAACGTTCGCATGTATAGTACGATTCGACCGTCTCTGTCGACGAATATTCCATTTACAGGTCAGACAATTATTCTAGAAACAGTATAATCCTTTGCACTCCGAATTATATCTCAATTTTGTTCCCAACGCTTTTAAGTGTTTTATTTGAAATTTATGTTAATCAAAGGAATAGGGCAATTTGAACGAATAGAGGAACAAACGAATTCAATTAAATATCTGTTTTATTTTGTAATTTTCAAGCGTATGATATCTCTTTGGTTTGGACTTGAAAAAATGTCGAGTGGGACAAAGGAGCTCCTGAGATAAAAACTAATGTCGAGTCACACTTGGCATAGGAGTGCAAAGGATCAACGATGTCTTTTTTTAAATTGAAATTGACACGAGTGCTGTGAGACTCGAAATATTTCGAATATTACCATTCTGATTCTTCTTTCGCCCTATCATCATCAGTTAACCCCCTAATCATGGGTTTCACGACTGTCTAAGGAAATTACGGTTGTTGGGATTGTCGAATTGCTGCAGTCGTTTGAAGCGAATGGCTCGGGAGGAGGAAAGTGGCAAACTAATCGACCGATCCTTTTTCTCTTCGCGCGTGGCACCTCGCCCGGATGTGCTAGAAATTGGACGTTCTTTACTCACGCGAGGCTCGAGTACCTCCCGCTCGTTTCCTCGCGTTCCGATTGGACGCTAAGCTTCTTTTTCCAACGATACACGCCCGCGAAGGAAATTCTAATCGTGGAAAAAAAAACGGTGCGGTTCTTGCGACGCGTTCCTGACCGAGACGGATATCTGTCGATCGAATTTTACTGGAAAAAGTGTTTAAGATGTGGTTTACAGAGTGTCACGGTGTACACTTAATTAAAATGGTCGCGACGAAAGTAAAATTACTACGAAACGCGGAAAAATGTTTAGGCGATCAACAAAAAATAAGGTGCTTGGCTGCTATGTGCATGCAGGGGTGACATGCGTTCTCTCGATGCGTCGATTTTCTACGTTTTTCTAATAATTCTTCCGGTGTTCATCGGTGCAACTAAACGGTGGAGATCACGATAAAAATAAAATGTGCGACGCAGAGAAATATTCGATTTGTTTCTAACCAGAAGGATGGATAGCTTCTCGACAAACAAAAATATGATACTTTCATAGTTTTCGATCGCATTTGATCTCCGACTAAAAATACGTCTCCAATAAATAACATCTAACGATTTCAACGAGATTGTGGTACGAGAAAGACTGCTTACGCGAGCAAATAATAATCGGTGAAATTTTACTCGCAGGTCGATCGAATCTCCAATATTTGAGTTCAAGTATTTCTATGTAACGTCAACCGATGAACATCCTTCGCTAAATGAATACGAGTGTTGTTTCATCTTATCGTCTGTATTTTCGCAATGTCAACATGTATTCATATGGTGCTTCAAGTGCTTTCTGTGGTTCGATTTTCGTTCGTGAAACGAGGCAGCTTGTTGGATATCGTTTTGCCCGCGTAATTTGTACCTCGTGTCTGAGCGATTGGCTCTACCTTGAAATGTCTTGAAATGTCTTGGAAAATAAAATTGCCTATTTTCGTGGTCTGTTGCGCGCGGAAAATAGAATATAAAACGAATGCAGGGCTTCCAATATCCACAATTCCTCTTGTAACTTTCTTTTTTCAATGTATTATACGTATTGAATAACTTAATGGATTCAGTATTTGAAATTAAGCCAGTCGATACACCAGACGTGTCTCCAACGAATTTCCAATTTATTTTTACATCAAGGATTAGCCTTTTTCGATTTTACCGTAATCCTCTGCCACCTTGTGTACATTAAGAAGTATTGCTAGGTGGTAAAAGGAGCTGCAATAGGAAACGAATGAGCTTTCGGTCTCAGAATCTGTTGCTCTTCCCGGGTAATAGGAAACGCACCGCTCGGCCCTGGAAAACTGATTTTTCAGAATTTCCATCCGCGCTGTACGCCGAGCGTTCCACATGTCAAACTTGTTTTCTGTCTAACTATAAAATTCACATTATTTTTCTAGCGCGAACACAGGTTTCATTCTATTTTCGACGAAGTTCCACAGATTTTGCATTTGTTATTTTAAGGTCTGACACAGATTTTATTATCGTTTCTGCGGCCAAAGTTTTAATAAGTCGAAAATTATTGATGTCGCGCAAAGAGATTCGTTTTTGGTAAGTTTTCAAATATTTTCGTAACGAGAATCGATTGCGTTTCCTCTTGGGAAAACACATTTGCCATGCACGACGCAAAAATATTGTCCCATCGCTGCAGATGCATGAAACATGTAACCCATAGATGACAGGACTTCTTATTTACGCAAATGAACGATATTTTTACGTTAAATGATATAAACATTCTGTTTCAAAGTGAGCAGTTTGGAATCCATATTGAAAACACTGTAGAAGCTACCAAATAAAAATTTCATGCATTTTCTGAATTTTTGAACGAGCCACCCGAAACCTACTTAAATCTGAATAGTTCAAGCACGATACGATCGATACGGTTAAAATGGAAATTTTGGACTTCACGTCGACCGTTCTGGCACGTTAAAAAGAGGAAGCAGTTCCGTCGAAATGCGTCGGGACCGACCGCCCACTCTCGTGGTGATTGAAAAACAGAAAAAAGGTTCCTTGCGAGGACGGAAGGAAAGAGCCACGCGAAAGCAAGAGGAGTAAAACGCAACCGGGGAGCAAAAATGCTCAGAGAAGCTATTGTCTGCGTAATTGTTTGGCGAATAAAGCGTAGCAGGTTTTTCGTAGCTCGTACGACCACGTTTTAAGCACGCAGTTACCTGTACGCGCGTGTGGGTTTTCATATGCAAAGGCCCCGGCAACGACAACTAAATTTCGCAAGCACGTTTAAACGACCATCCTCGCGGCGGATGATGTCGTTACGAGGTACAAGTTATTTTATAGACCTGGTGATATCGTTACCGTCCTACTTTTTTATCTCTCCAACCTTGCCACGTCGTTCACCACGACGTTAAATCATGCAGTTCGTTTTACCAAGCGTCATTATTCACCCATGGTGTACAATTCCACGTTTACAAATGATTTTTAACCCGAACGTCTTCCCTCGAACTTCGCTGTAAAGAAAAACCGTGTTTTTTTTTTATCGTTCGTATTATTAATCTTCGAGTTCGACTTGTTTCTTTCATTAATAAATGGCGTTTTAATAATCTGCCTTTTCAACCGTCGTGATCAAAGGCTAGGAATCGAGGTAGCGCGTTGATTTTCATTTCAGTGAATATATTATATTATAATGCGGAGCTGAATTCGCTGAATTCCAACAAGCATCCTCGTGTTCACTTTCGCGCGATTACGCGTTTAAAGCGAATCTCTCCTGTACGCCGACTCTGTGGTGACACGTTTACCTTGGGGTTGAGGTCGCTGCCCTGTTGCATGAGTGTGCCGACCATAAACCAGAAGCTGTTGGCCAGGGTGAATTCGTTGACGGTTCTCAGCAGGGGAATGTCGTCGCTGTCGGGGTCCAAGGCGCTCACGTGACCACCCTGATGACAACGTGACCCCCGCCCAGTGGTGCAAAATATCAAGGACAATTACACGGGCTATTTTCGGGATTCAATGCGTTCTGTACGACTCGATTTTAAAAGTGTCACGTCCATTGATCATTTCTACGTATATTCGCGTCTCTCTGCGGATTCCCTTTTCACGTAACTTTTCAGAAAATCTGTAACCAATCTTCGTAGCCACAAAGAATGAAGTCCGCCATTCATGGAAATAGGTGAAGTCCTAATGAACATGGATACGAAAATCCTTTCATTCGGATTCATAAAACATTTTCTACAATGGAATGTTACCTTCGCGCACGGTATACGCTTGAAATACTCTCTATTCATTAAAAGGTAGTCGTGTTTCTTTTGAAAATTCTATACACGCGTAGAAACCTCGGTTCCCTACTGTTTTGATCGCTATAATGTAATATTTGGAAATAAATCCGGCATTGCAAAACTTTACCTACGGTCGTTTATCGTTACCGTATCGTAACATAATTGTTCAACATAGAAGGGACTCCAGAGAGAATCCCGATACCCTGTTACAGGGATATTAGTTCATATCGCATAGTGTATGCTTAACACAAACACAATATAGTGTGTTGATGTGGATAGTCTCGTTATGTTTACTAACCAATTATTGATAAATCATTACTAGTTAGACCTCGGATAGATTGGTTGCTTACCGCTAGAACAAAGCTAGGAAATAGAAAAATAAACAAAAATTGATTCGGAATACAACGCGATAGAATATATTTTCTCACGCGTGTCTGTTCTTCCATATACAGAGTAAGCAGTGTGTTCTACAAGTAAAACTAAGACAAAAAATCCATAAATGCTTTGTTAAGGAGTTGTAACAAAAATATGAACCGTGAAAGATACGATAACGCTGTGTCCAATACAGAAACACGTACAAGAGATGAATTAATTGCAAAAATCACTACCGCGTGTGAAGAGGTTCGACAAAATTTCAAGGGGTTCGCAAACAACTGAAGTCAACAATAAACTCAATAGTATGTTGATGCTAAAGAGTCTCAACAAAGACGGACCTTGGTATATTCAAGAGCGTTTCATATTTTTCTCATAACTTCTTAACGAAGCATTTATGAACTTTTGTATAACACTTTAGTCTTTACTCGTAGAACACACTGCTGTGTGGAAAATCCAGTACGTTGATATTATTACAAGTAAAAATATTTTCAGTGGTAAAATCTGAAAGTTTTACCGTCGGAATGGCCCGGTATTAATATTCTGTTCGTTTCGAAAAGTGTTGCGACTAGCCAACGTTTGCTTCCAATTTTTCCAGCGTTCCTTAGATCCAATTACACGGTCCACGTGCACCACTCGACGGGAGCCTACCTGCAGAGGGCATTTGCAGCTCGGGCATGCTCTAGGTTCCACCCACTCGTAAGGGGAAAACCTTGCCACTATCCAAATCGCCAAGGAGACCATCACGTAAGCGCCCAGCATGGATAACCAGATCTCCACGGCGAGCGGATTCATGAACGAGAACAGCCTCGACGGCATTCGACCGGAAACCTGAAGCAGTTACACGTATTCCGGGTATTACTGACCCCCGAATCCGTCCTCCCCGTCGACTACCCCCGCAACGGTTCGCCGGCGAGCCGATTTTCTCGTCGTTAAACGATTCACCTCCCTTCTTTGTATTGTTTATTCAGCATTTTCACGCGCGAAATGATCCAGGGAGCCGGCAGTTTCGCGCCGGCTGTTCTGCCAGACCCTGAATGCCACGCAAGACGATCCTTTATTTCGCTGAAATCACGGCTCCGCGCTATTCTTCGGCCCGTCAGACGCTGCACAATAGGCAGCTAGAACACGCCGCGAGTTCAACCGTTATACGAGTTCCTTTATCCTTTCGTTTTCTCATTTTTTTCCTTTTTTTTTTTATATTCCGCCCCTTGCTCGGGGTTCCGCCCGAAACTGGAGCGCGACTCGCGATTTCAGGTTACGAGCGTGGGCGAATCTGGAGCGCGCTGATGCCTCGCGTGGACAGTTTCGAATGGTTCCTACCCGTGGAACGACGGCGACGACAATCGGTGCCTCCAAACGTGACAGCTTCTGATTTTCCTTCTCCCGGGGTTCCTGTTATTTTTTTTTTTTGCGTTTCTCGAGTCGAAAGATTCACGGAGGAACGGATAGTACCACGAAAGGAACCGGGGTTGTTAAAAGCAACGGGAAATCCCGTTGTCTCCCCGGTGATTGGAGTTCGGAAATTTTGTAGATTTCGTAGGAAAATTCTTCGAGGGGGAATCCCATTAGGAAAATTAAACGAATTAATTTTGGACTTTTTGAGTACGTTACGAAAGCTGGCCTCATGGTACACTTTAAAATGCTATTCGTCATTAAGAAATAATTTCCCAAAAATTTTTTCAATCAAGGTAGTCTAACCCCATAACATCGATCCTAATCACCTCCCTTGGGCCCAAAATGTATTTTTATATAAATATATTTACTGCAAAACTTATTGAATTTGTTTTTAAAAGCCAAAAGATTAAAACTAAGTATTTTCCTTCTTTTGTATTTTACATGCAAATATTGAGTACAAAAATTATTTTTAATGTCGTACGTGTGTTTAGTTTCGCTCCTCACTGTATTTCAGACCCCAGACCTAACCCAGCTGTCTGACTGCTGGGTGTCTTCAACGATTGAACATCTACTAGCAAATATTGAATACAAAAATGATTTTTAATGTCATACGTGTGTTTAGTTTAGCTCCTTACTGTATTTCAGACCCCAAATGACACCCAGCTGCCAAATCGCTGGGTGTCTTGAACGATTGGACGTCTACTAGATGCTAGAAGCGTTTTCACACGAAATCAACAAAATTTTCGAGCAGTGGCGCGATCCAGGCATAGTAGAGACGCTACTCGCGACAGGAGTAGTGCAATGGCGGTGCACCTCGTTGAGTGTACCTTGGGGTTGAGCCCGCTGCCCTGTCTGAGGAACGTCCCCGTGATAAACCAGAAACTGTTGCTGACGCTAAACTGGTTTTCGACGACGTCGCTCTCCGCCAGACACGGATGAGGATTGTTCCACTCGTACGGGCTGAATCGGGCCATAACGAACAGGGTGAAGCTTACGAGCATGTACGCGGCCAGCACGTACAGCCAGATCTCGACGGCCAGCGGGTTCATGAAGGAGAACAACCGCGTTGGCTGGCTGGATGGCACCTAAATTACGTTACGCTACGATTTTAATTAAAACGGATCCCGTACCGCTCCCCCGCCGTGCGACGGGACCTCCGCGGGAACGTTCTACGCTGCTAGATCGGTTCTATCGAGAACCCCGTTCCATCTACCTGATTCCACCGCCGTGTTCTTAGTATCACGTTGTCGCTTGCTAAACCCTGGGCTGTTTGGGAACCAGCTGCAATAACGTACGACCTCCATTGACCGATCGCTTTGAGGCAAGTAAAGCTTGTCGCGGTCGAACATCGATAACACCCTTTCGAGTCGATTTTTACAGTATTTCCCCTTCAAAAAAATTCTGGACACTATCTGGAGCTGACAAAACGTTCTCGAACTTTACGAGCATCTGTCACTCCACGTTTTAGCATTTAACAAGCAGATTTGTAATCGAAAAAGATACCGATGAAACGTTACGTTGGGAACTTGTATTTTTCCACGCGTGATTTCGATCTAGGAATCGCGTATTTTATTTCGAGCTTTTTTGGAATCGTTTGTACCGGGAACGAGATTCTCGATAAAAAAAAATGCACCCTGTGTTTGTGTGGCGATCGCTACGTTTTCCGACGTTCGTGGAACAACGAATCGGTGTTTCGGACTAAACCTAAATGAATGGTAAACGGAAGAAGATCGCGACAGACGCCAGCGACTCACCTTAAATAGAATTCCAATACCGAGGTTCATGAAGGGTTTGGTGAAGTCTATCACGCTCTCCCGAGCGTAATTTATCGTCATGGACGCAACAGCCAGGTCCGCCCTCTGCGAAGGAGAAAAAGAAGAGATTTTCGGTTAAAAATGGACCGACAGCGTTCTCGTGCCTCGGGGCGGCACAGTGGCTCGGGAAATTCTATGCAAGAGGCATCGAACTCGTCGAGCACGGGCCGTTATCCGGCCTGTTTTACATTTTCATCGAAACAAAAGATTTATTTCACCGGCGCGAAAATATATTTTCTTCGACTGGGAGATTCTCGCCCGACGAAACGACGAGAGAATGGGAGGGTAGGAAACGGCGTTTTCGTTGGCCCGCGAGAAATCATCGTCCTCGTCCGAGTGTTCGAGACTTAGGAGAGATGTTTGCCTTGCAAAATAGAAAATGCATTTTTTATAAGCGGACCGCGAGCATGGCAGGTCACCGGCAATGACGTCTCACCCTTCGGGACGATCCGCTTACGGTTTCGTTGGTTTCTGGGTTAAGGCGGAACACCCTTTCACGGGGGGCAGATTGCTTTGCATCATTTATAAACCGCCGATCTTCGAAATTCAGGAGTTATCTGTGTCGGGGTTGCGCTTAGTCGTGCGAAACGCGAGAACCGCCTGGAGACATCCTTTGTATTCCGATCTTCTCTCGTTTCCCGAGGCAATTATTAATATTCGGGATGTTTCGTAATAGCTACTTCAACGATGAACGTGGGGATATAAAAACTATCAGAGAAATTTGACTTTGTTGGGGTAAAACCACGACGAGATTTTTCAACTTGTAATTTGTAACTACAGTCAAATATAGTTAATAATATCCTCTGCGTACACGTACGGAAGCGATTCCCATGACGTCCGACTAATTTCGAGCAATACTACTTGCCACAGATCTGGTAATCAGAGGAATTTGAGTTTGTTGAGCTAAAACCATTTCTGCACTCCGACCACGACATTTGTCAACTTATCACTGATAATTATAAAAAATTATAACCAATTGTACCCTGTATATATACGTACGGAAACGATTTCCATCATGTCTGACCAATTTCGACCCATACTACTTACCACAGATCTGTCTAGTGGCCTGCGTCTGACATATTATCGATATGTACTACTTCGAAAAGCGTTAATCCAAATTAGATACATTGACAAGGACAGGATTCCAGTTTCGTGGGATGAATACAGGTTTTTAGTACGAATAAAAATACTTGATGATTTATAAATATTACTGATAGAAGCAGAAATTGAGGAAACAAGAATGCAAAGGAACTCAAGCGTAGAAATGTATTAAAAGGCCCAAACGTGTAGTGTTTTTTTTTGCAAATAGAGGCAATTCTATTCGACGGTAGATCCAAATGTCGTTGTTCGATACTATGTGTACAGAAAAATGTTACTATTTATTCATAACACCATCCAATAAAATTCGGTATCGGTAAATTTTACTGGATAGTCACAGCTGGCCGGGTAATGAAATCTGGGTCGAAGCTTGTTGTAAACGCTGATACTCGCTGTTAGAGTTACACATGGAAACCAGTTTGAAAGACAAAATATTCAGTGAAACGGGAAAGTGATTGCAACGAAATAGAGACGCTATTTGCAATATATCGTGTATCTACGTCAAACGTTCTACACGTGTCAATGGGGATATGTACTATGTCACCAACAGAGGCACGTTAAAATCAACGGATAGCAGGTCGGGAGCCCTTGTAAATACTGTCAGATAGCTTGTTTAAACAGTGTGATACGTTAAAGATACATTGGCATTTAATAATTTGCAAACTAGTGATCTCAGCATAGAATTCTCTGTCTAGAAAAGGTCGGGAACGTTTCCAAATAGTTTGATTAATCATTAAAAATCACTAGTATTTCAAGAAAATTTCTATTAATATCTTTCAGATAATTATTTAATCTTTCGTAAAATGGTCTCAGAAGCTTCTTCTCTACAAAGTTAATATTTTTCCTGATTACTGCAATCATACAAATATAATGCATAAATATTCTTTTGACATTTATTCCATGTGCAATTGTATTAAAGCAAGCGAACATTTGCGTATTATTTCGATATCGTGCACAGATCGCTGAATGTCTGACTATGTCGGTGGTTATATCACTTAAAAACATCGTGTTTCTGGAGTAACAAAGCTCGACGGACATTTGAAAAACGGAATATACGTTCGCGTTACCTATTTACAAAGTTTTACTTAATATAAGCGTGCTCTGTGTCGCGGAATGAGATAAACCAAAGGACAGAGTGACGAAGGCATTTAATGAGACGATAAAAAGTCGGTCGGACGCGACGCTGTTGATTTATTTCGCGTTCATTATTACGTTCGTAACTCGCTCGCTCCATTTCCCTAGGATTTTCCACACTGGCCAGCGGATGATAATACTTCCATCAATTTCTTTGTCGACTTCGCTCTTCCCGCGTTAACTGCACCCCTCTGTTTTAATTACTCCTACCTTCGCGTTCCGCGCGTTCGGTTATCCGTGTCATTCGTTCATACGGTGTTCCAGTCAACGTTCCGCGACCAATTATTATCGTTACGAGAACGTTTAGTCCCGCAATTTTGACAAAATCGATCCAAAAATTGTCCACCGTATTCTTCCATGGTTTACTTAGACACGTTATTTCAATATATCTAGATACGTATATTAGTATGCGTGTACGATTTTATTATATAATCCCGTGCACTTTACAAGCTCTTGGTTATTATAGGAAAGCAAAGTATTTTGGTTATTAAGTAATATGGCTCGTGCTTAAAGAGGATTTCACGATTTACGATTATGTTCGCTTTATTGTTTATATTCTTAAATATTCTCTGTAAAATTCTCGATTAAAACTCCGCGACTAACTTTAAAATTCTCTTGTAAAGTAATTTTACTGGAAACTTTGTTTCTTTTTCGTCGTAAAAGTTTAAAAGGTTGTAAAAAACATTGCTTCTACCCGTACTAGCAGAATTATAACGATATCTTTCATTATTGCTATTAAAAAAAGAAACAACAGAACTATGCATGAGACACTTTAATAAAGAAACGTAACGAATTTTAAATTAATCGATAGAGTATATAAATTCCTGAATTCGAGTCTTATTTCTCGGGTCTTTCGAGCATAAAACCACTTTTTCGGACACCGTTCTCTGTACACCACGTTGGACAAGTCCATCGAACGAAGTTGCGCCAATAATTCCGAATCATGGAGAGGAAATGAATGCTTTTACCATAAATCAGACTCTCGCATCCGTCCTTTAACCGTTATCGCGCCAGCTCTGCCAATGCGCGATCGTGAAAACCGTGAGTCGCGAACGGCCGGAGGATTCATACAAATAATTCTAATTTATGGAAGGGAAATGAATACTATTAGCAGCGCGATGCTAATATCCCGTCCGTCGAACGATCGAGGTTCATAAATTACCCGGTGACGTCGTTCGGAGAGTCTCGTACGTCGGATTCCGATTTAATAACCGCGCGTCTTTTTACAATTCAGATGTCACGTGGCAACAGCTGCATGACTGTCTATGAATCAGAATATCGGGTACGTTGTTACCCGTTAGAAAACGTAAAATTAGATACTCGTCGCAGTATGCATAATGAAATTCCACCCTAGATGGATTTATTGCGACAACGTCGGCCCGGCCCGTTTTGCATATAAAATTGTTCCTCCCCCCTCCCTCAGACGTCGCCTCCTCTCGCGTTTGTTATTTTTTCTCAAAAAAAGAAAAGAAAAGACGTGTAACTTTTTGCGCACGCTGCCAGTAATTCAAACCGCTGTTCCTAGAAGATACGCCGTGTTTGCGATCGGTGATCCATCGTGTCCTCCATCTTATTTGTATTTCATTACGTAACCCACCGTGAGAGATAGCGGGTAATTGGTTACACGGTTAACACTTTGCAGCAAATTTCAGTAAAAAATTACTTCGAAAAATCGATCCTCTTTATTCTCGTGTTTGAAGGCCCTTAAAAGATTGACTTCTTGGACCCCCCAAGGTAGGACTCTCAGGTGTATGTGATTTTATTGTTTCTCTACGACTATATCGACGTTGACTTCGATGGGAATTATTTTGTGGCGAAATGGAATAAATTTAGGGGTTTCTACGTGAAAAATTCGATAGTAGGGAGATTACGTTCGCTCTGTTGCGCAATTATCGACGTTGAGACAGCCTTCGAGAGCAAAGGAACAGCGGATGGAAGCTTTCCGCCTGGCGAATCGCATGATTCTTAACTTCTAAGAGCGAAGGTCCTTACCTTCTCCATGAGTTCCCGTACGATTCCGTTCCACTCCTTGGTCTCGGGGTCGTAAACGCCGTACATGCGATCGGGCACCAGCCTTATGGCGTATTGGAAGCCCACCTGACCGGCGATCCACTTGAGCAAATCGATGCAGAATCCCTCGTACCTAGCATTCCCCGTCAGATTTTTGTCTTCCTTTACCATCACGTACGGTTTCTCCTGCGAAAGATAAAGTCTCTTTGACAGGTCATCCGAACGCAAAGGTCGGAAGGAGAGGGGACGGAAAAAATCTAATTCCACGTTAAAGAACAATCTTGGCGATACGACTGGCAGTAAAACATCGAACGCACCGATGCCAATGACCGAGAAGATTTCAAGTTGAACGCTTTCTCCTTTTTCGTTCGATGCCTTTCATCTTGGAAAATTAAGTGTCAGCCCTATCTCGAAGTCGATCGCCTTTGACAAAGAATCCAGTGAAATTAGTTTCTTTCCGGAAGCCCTCTAAATCGAACCGGAGAAATCGTAATCGAGGGCTAATTGAAAGCTTCGAACGATTGATCGTTAGGAGCAAACAATTTTCTCTGCTCCCGTTTAATTTGCGTCGATTAAAATTCCCGGGTAAATTACGATTTTATAATTCGATTGTTATTAGTGAATTTTGAGTATCTTTAAGCACACAAAGAATACGTTTTAGAGAGAAATTCGGGGAACGAAGAGGTTAAAATAATTCATTAGCGAATCGTCCAGTGACCTCGGACTCGTGTACGGCAACAAGCTTTTCGTGTATGTAAATTGGCTGAATAAAATTTAATACGTACAATGCCTAGTGCTTTAACAAACCGCCGAATTTCGAGGCAAATAAAGACTTCAGGAAAACATTTATCGTACGCTCGAGGTTCCGTCCATTATTTCCAACTTTCCTCTGACCTTTTCGGAGCTTTATCTCGAGCTTAATTTGGCTTACGGTTGCGCCAGTATTATGCTAATTACCTCTATCGTCATAACGACCAGAGTAATATTGGTCGCTGTGGTCTCGTAAAAGGCCCCCACGTCGGTGACGTTCACGCCTGTCCCGGGCTTCCACTCGCCTACCTTCACCAGCTCCTCTTTCTTCAGCTTCAGCAGATCCAGCTTGAAGTTATTCCGTTTCCCTTCGTTGAATTCTATATGTCCGGTTAGTCCGTGTAAGCCTGCCTGCGAACAGAAATGTTCGTAACCCTAAATTCGAGGTCGACCTGGCTTTGCAACCCCACGATCTCAAAATGTTACACTTCCCTCGGTTGCTCTTGGAATATAAATAACAACGTGCTCGAAATATTTTGTTAAAATGCAACAATCAATTCTCTTTCCTCTGTTACATACCACAAACAACATTGTTAAAGTCGGATCAAATAATCATCGGTTCAAAATTAATTAATATTTTCAACGTGTATTTATACTGTGTTATTGACACGTTTGTACGTGTGACCAACGTCCATCAAGTAATCTATTTTTATCACGAGAGGTCTAGGAAATTAATTAATTTTGAATTTATGCGATGAAATAAACGCGATAACCTAATGTTAAATAATTCGTCGAGCCTGAGAGGTTTCGAGGAAGAGCAACGCAACGTTAGTTAGCTTAATAATATTTCGAAAGCTTTGGAAAGTTTAATAATAACTATTTCGAATATTTCGAGGTTTACATTTTCTACTGTGGTCTGATTATTACACGCTGGATCCAACAAGTACAAAGAGTAGACAATGGTGAACGTTAATTAAAACTCACACAATACCAACCCAATTTTATATAAACTTTCCCGAGTTCTATGCCAGTATTTCCCATGATAAACTCCATTTGAAACGTGAACGAACTTTTACAACATATCGAATTAGCCAACATCTTTCTAATCATATCATTTTCGATATGTATCTAAATAGAGAAAGAAGCTTTAGAGTGATACAGAGTTCTGTTAAATTAGTAGTTAAACACGATCTATCGTAACGTAAAAAATTTAATTTCCAAGCAACCAATCACGATTCGCGGCTAAAATTCCGCGAGGAATCGGACAGAGACATTTTTCACATTAATTAGCTTCCGCGTTCCATAATCTTTCCAATTTACGAGGCGGTTTTTCCACAGAACGGCTACCCCTGTCCGGCCAAATTTTGGCTCGTTATATTTCCCGCTTTTTTATCGAACCAACATGATTTTTCCACCGGCCAGCGCTGGTAACCCAATTTCTTTTGGCCTTCCCGCGTCGCGGGGACCAACGATTTCGAAATCCCGCGAGTGGACGAGACCGGGAGACAATAGAAATTAAATCGACGCCGATCGAGATCGGGCACACCGTCGAGGACGGACCATTTCCTGGCAGCTGGCGAGTCATCATCGCGAACACGCTGAAAATCCCCGGAGGTATGCCAGGTACGTACGTCAAATCGTTACGAACGAATGCCACGGGGCGCGCGGTGGGATAAAATCTCCGAAATTTGACTAAAATATGTAATTACGAAATTCCTCAAAGTAACTTGGAAATTACTGACGACGAAAACACATTATCTAAGAAAAATAGGACACCGTTATGTAGAACATAAAGTTCTTCTAAGCTCCATTTTCAAAGTTTTATTGTTTCAATACTCTAAAATTACGGAGTCAATTTTATTAGAGTAATTAAACAAAGATTTTTTAAATTTCTGGTAAAATTAAAATTTGCTCGTAATTCGTTCTTTATTCAGTGTAGTTTGTTACTTAAGTCTCAATTTTCAGCGTATTTTTCTGAAAATTTTTTTTGGGTACGTGTATTTAATATTATCTAGCAAACTGTTTTATATATTGAGGGAGAGTGGAAAGCTGGAACCAGAGACTTCAGTAGCTTTCTTCCCCCATTTGCAGAATATGAAAAATAGCCTGTATGTTGCACAATACATCGATCGAACAAATTTCGACCACCTTTCGGGAGATCTGTACCAGTGTGTGGCGGCTGGAATCGAACGGTACAACGGGCATCGTATTTTCGGCGCTCGCGTGGTCCAGCCTTGTACAGTCGAAGAGATTTGCCCGTTAATTCATTTCGTATTTACGGCCACGGTCGTGTAAACTGCGGATCTATATTTTCCGGTTCGTGTTCTCGAAACGCGAGCGTGGAAATCTATCGTGCGTTCCGCTCGTCTACCGCTTGATCGTACGTTTCTCAGAACATCTTTTTTTGAAAATAAGAGACGTCGACTGAAACGAATTTCCGTCGAATTTTCATTCTGCGAACTGTCGAGCAATGAATTCTCATTCTTCGTATTAACAAGCCTGTAAATATGAATGTCGAGTTTTGACGTTTCTCGGAGAATGAGAATTTATTTTTCAATGTAGCGTCACAAGTTTGAATTCCTCTTCCGTGCAAATGCTACGTGGGTACGCGTTACCTAGGTTCACTTAAATTTCTTCGTACCAACAGAGATACTTAAGATATCCCAAAACAGGTGGTGCGATCCACGCTCGACGAACTTCAATCCAGGATCATTTCGAGCGTCCCGGATCAGAGTATCGAAGATTAAAACGACACCGGTTTCAGGGCACCCGGTACGTGGAGAAGCGTGTCCCCGATCCCGTATACACGAGGCCACGGACTGGCGGAGTGAATTATGTTCTCAACGTAGCCCACATAAATCCATTTACAAACGTTCACTAACACAGCATGCTTGGTACACCGCGAATGTCCGTTCCGCTGTCCGCGCCTAACGACTGTGTACAGAGCGGGGCGAGCGCGAACGAGTCAAGAACTCGCGAACTTATATTTCCCGTGCAAACTTTTCAGAAGAATCGCGTGCCCGGATGGCTATGCCCTCGTGTTTGCTTAAGGGAAGATCGAGTGAGTCGACAGTGGGATGGCGCGAGTATTTGCGGAGCGTCGCAGCCGAGTAATCGTCGCTCGTGGAATGTGATTTCAACGCTTGGCTGATTCAATTTCGTCGCGCATTTATGAACGAGTACCTTTTTTAAAAATTCCCCCAGCTTTGTTCCGGTCCAACGATTCCGACGTGTTGCGTCACTCGTCCCTAATAGAGTTCAAATATTAATCTTATCGTCGATAGTTTTCATTACTCGGATATTTTATATACTCTTTGCTTTATTTTCATCGAAACTTGGTAACTGCTCTTACGACAAAGATTAAAATATTAATATATAACACGGTTGTATATTCTCTAAAAATCGAAAGGTAGATCAATATCTGTTCATTTCAAAGAAGACTGGGATGTCTGACCATACACGGTTAAATCTACTTCGCGGTAGGAAACAAACCTTTCCTTTATCCTCCCGAACAATTTAATAAAAATTTCAAGCATATTCTTCGAATCCATTCCGAACCGTGTTCTATAATTGGAAAATCCACAATTGTTAATGTAGAGTTCGAATAGAAAGTTTACCCGGAGAGTGAAGTTTCAGAAATATCTCTGAGTGGCACTTGGTCTTGTATACGGTATAAACTGATTTAAGTAATTGTCGGTATTCAGCTCGTGCAAATCGATAGAGAGTTCTGAATTGAATCCCCCGACAGATCTAATTTCAGTATCCGACCTAACCGCGTTCCGTCATACGGTAAGTTTCTGCACGTCGGGGGGCGGTTCAATGTTACTTCAGGCTGCGTTCTATAATCTAAGAAAAGTAACTGGATTTCGTCGACTCCGTGTCGAGTTGCAGTTAACGTCGAATCGCGGAGGGAAACCCGCGAGCATCTCGTTCTCGCGATTTGCATGAGGCGGAATCGGTGCGTGCGGCTCGTACGAGTAACGCAATGCGGTGGATTACGTTCTGTTATCTCTTACTTTGCGGCTGACACCAGTTAGCGTTCCTACCATCGTCTACGATTCACGTTGAAAGGGATATGCATAGTCTTTCCCTAATGCGTTCGCGCGTGAAATCGCTACGCAAATCCTTTGTTTGCGAGGATGCTTTGTTTCGTAATAACTTATTGCTCCCAACAGTACACAGCTTATACAGTGCACAGTAAACGTTAAAATAGGAAGTAAAGAAATATTAATCCCCAGAAAAATAAGAATTTTTGATATTCCAAAAATAATAATATTCTATAGATCTAAATGTTCAGACTGTGACTGAATGCTTTGTTTCTTAATAACTTATGCCAACATTTCCAACAGTACACAGCTTATACAGTGCACAGTAATAACAGTAAACGTTAAAATAGGAATTAAAGAAATATTAATCCCCAGAAAAATAAGAATTTTTGATATTCTAAAAATAGATTTGAATTTCCAAACTCTGACGCATCTGTATCGACCACGCATCTGTGCATTTCTCCAGGTGTCCCTTGGCAAAAATCTTCACTTAACGTTTCTAAAATCCATTTCGACGCGTACTTCGCTCGCAACCGATACTGGATCTCGCATATCCATTAGATGTCTGCCGTTCTGTCTCGAACACTTGTCATTTCCATCAAGACGCGCGATCCCTAACGCCTGGATGTCACTCGAGCTTGCGTTTTAGAATGTAGAAATGTTCCTCCAAACAATGGGAGAAGTATAAAAGAAAGCTCAAGAATTTACAGAACTTTTACGCCCGTACATATAAATTCTAAAATTGTTTATGAAAGAACCGTGCATTCCATACGCACGAAATTAACTCTCTCAAACGTGGAACGTATTCGTTGTAATTGCTTTGTACAATTTCCTTCTATTTTGTGGTGTGCTGTTTATCTTGCGTAATTAACACTCTGGGCAATTTCAGAAATATTTTTGCGTTCGTTATAATTAAATGTTGTAATTGTCAGACTTCTATGAATTTTAGAAGACTTCTGTGTTTGTTATGAATTTCCATGTTGCCAGTGTAGTGCAACCCGAGCTCGGGAAGTTGAAATTAAAGTTATCTCTTCGCCTTCGTTAATTAAATTTCTTGAAACACTGCGGGAACATTGTAGCATAACTGTTTAAACTGTAGCTAACAGTGAATTCACGACCCCGAAGATGAAATCATGTTCATTTGACATCGAAGCAGATACTTGAATCATTTATGTATTATACGAGGCAGACAACGTCGTTGTTGTGGGTGTTGCGTTGCTGCTGTTGTTTACGACGCACGCGGATCAAAAGTTTTCCATTGCACGCATTTTACAAAATTCTCGTGCCCCCCCACCGCGACCTGGAGCGTCTTCGATTATTCCGCCAGCGCGGGCGAACTTTCCACGAAGCTCGCGTTCAATTTTC